GCGCAAGCACACATTGCTGGGTTGATGTTCTCCGCGAGTACGCTCGAGTTCAATGCCCAGCTCTCTGGACTCGGCGCCAACGATTCTAATTCGCCAAAAAAACAGCCTGAGCGGGCCAAACTGACCAGTGCGGGTGTTGCGTTCCTGCAGTGCAACACCCGCATTGGCTACAAGGGTTTTGCGCCCGTTCATTGGTAGAAATTCGAGCTTATAGGCACGTTTATAAGGTACCACAGAGGTATAAACCAGCATGACAACAAGAGCTGAATGCCATTTTGCACAATTGCCGCGCGCACAGCTCCGCTTGCATAGTACCGCTTGCACAAGATCGCCACGTCATATCGAACTTCCTCCTTCTTCTCTTCTCTTTCTTCGATTTAACAGGCACACGTGTGTTATAGTCCCACCATTTAAGGGGTAGTCGCCGAGCAAGTGATATCGACACGGTTTGCGTATCCGGAAAGATATGGCGTCGTCCGGTTGTGATGTCGAGCGAGGATTAGTTCAAAAGAAGCCAATAAAAAGGGGGAGAAGTGTCAGTTTTCAAATTGAGATGCCAACGCAAGACGAGGTAGAACGACGACCAAGCGACCTGCGACGATGTGCATGAGCGATGATGTAGAAATCGCTTCTCCAAGCTGCAGGAAATGGCGACGTGGCTGACGTCCAATCCTATCTCAACAAAGGCGTCGACGTCAACTGCACAGACAGCGTACGTTGGATCTCTCAACAGGAATTGTTTTCCATTCATACATTGGAGTAGAATGGTTATACGCCACTGCACCGAGCTGTTCTGCATAGTCAATTGGACGTCGCCCGCCTCTTGCTTGATAGAGACGCCAATGTGGAAGCGTCCAATCCGGTATGATTTTGTCTTTGCGTTGGTGTTGATATCGAGTAGTGGAGTGGTGATACACCACTGATCCAAGCCGCAGCATACAGTCAGCCAGCCATGGTCTATCTCTTCTTGGAACATGGCGCCAAAACGGACGCCAAAAACAGGGTACGTACTTGCGTACCGCATGTCCTCGTTCGCTGAACCGTGCTTCAAAAGAGATTTACAACCTTGGTTTTTCTAGGATGGCAAAACACCGCTTCAGGTCGCAGCAGCACGCGGTTTGAACGATCCAATCGCACAGCTTTTGCGTCACTACCCTCGCGTGCAAGACGAAGACCAGGTACATAGGGCCCATCAAAATGCATTCTGTTCCATCGCGTCGATACTATCTCTCGGTTGTAGCTCTTTGCCGCACTGCGCGAAAAGCGCATACCTGACGCCATGCGTATTCTCCAAAACAACTTTTTTCACGTCAACCTCCGTGACAGCGTACGTATCTCACTTTAAAAATGACTCACTCTCGGTGGATATGACTAATGTGATTGTAGTCTGAGACGCCGTTGCTGCACTTGGTCGTGGCGACGCAAGATCTGTCACTGCTTCAAGCGTTGCTTGCAAAACCTAACCTCCAGATCGATGCCAAAGACTCGGTATTTCCATCAATCGTCTTGTCGTCCGACATTTTTACGTTATGTGTGATGAAATAGACGGGTCGCACGGCTCTTGCAGTCGCCATTACCATGGGCGACGCAGAGTCCGTTCAGACGTTGTACCAAGCAGGCGCATCCATTGATCTCGTCGACAAGGTTGGAGATTTGCAGCATTTTATAAAGATGTTGGCGATGCGATGCAGAGTCTCCGTGCATTGACGCCGGTCTTTGCCACCGCTTTGCGCCAAGCAGCCTCCACCAACGACGGCGGCACGGTGGCTCAACTACTGCGTCTCGGCGTCAGCTGCTCATTGGCCAACGAAGTACTGTATAATTTGAGCTGGTGGAAGGTCTCAAACATTTTGGTTTGATCTAGAATGGCGAGACGGCGTGGCTTGTGGCGGCTGCGAAGGGGTATGTGACCACCATCGCGACATTGCTGCAGGGGACCAACGACGAGAACGGCATTGAAGTGACCAACCACGTACCTACCCTACACACTTCTTCTCTCAACAAATACTTGGGTTTGTCTAGGCGGGAGAGTCACTCCTTTTTGTCGCTGCTGCTGCCGGCCATGCCGACGTTGTCGAGGCACTTATCCTTGGCAACGCAAGCATGCACTGCGTCTCTTGTACTGTCTGTGCATGACATGCTCCCATCCTCCACGTGCAATCGTGGTTCTAGACTGACGCGACGTTGCTGCACGCGGCCATCGTTGGCGGCAACACGAGCGTCCTGGACCAACTCTTCTTGTTTTGCAGCGATGCCAAAGATGCTTGTGACGAGGTAGACACAATATTGTCTGTCATGGATGATTGCTCAACGTATTCTCCACCTCAACTAGATGGGTCAAACGCCGCTGCATGTCGCAGCTGCCAAGAATCTCGTTAATGCCGTGAAGTACCTCGTAAAGGCCAAGGCCAACGTCGTTGCAACGACAATAGTACCTTTCTCCTGATAGAGGGAGCTCGGATCTGACACGATTCCGGTAGACGGGCAAGACGCCATTGATGCTAGCGACCGACCGCCGCGTCATCGCCATCTTGCAACAGGCGGAAAGCAAGGGCAAGCAAAAGGTATTCCCCTCAAGCTTATGTAGAATGGACGGCAAGCGTGTGCGTTGTAGAAACCTCTACTTTCGGACGCTGAGCTTGACCAACTCGTCGACCGTATCTGCAGCTCGGAGGCGATGTTGAGCAAACTTGTCGAGCGGCTTCGCAACCGCCTCGACGTCGGCCATGAAGCTTTGGAGGTTCGATTCGCACGTCTTTTCCTACGATGTAGAACTCGGTGGATCGACCTGAGGGCACTCAAAGCGCAAACGTACAACTTCATTTGGACAAAACATGTCCACATACCTATGTATGCTGTAGGCGCGTGTCCAAGCTGTGTACGTCAACGACGCCAGCCAAGAGCGAACGCTGGTGACCGACGACATGGATTCCAACGCTGCGAACGAGGTAAATGCTTTGTGACGTGACAAAACACAAAAGCGACGCTGGAACATTGTAATGTAGGCGGGCGACTCACCACTGCATCGCGCAGTGCGAACCAACGACCACAAGGCGTTGGCGGCGCTGTTGCGAACGCCCAGCATCCAAGTCGACGCTCGCAATGCGGTACAGCAATAAATCTGTCGACAAGAATAATGACAATGACAATATTGTTGTTGTTTTAGGCGGGCGTGACGCCGGTGACTCTAGCCGTCCAGAAGGGCCACCGACGCCTTGCGACGATGCTCCAGACAGCTGCGCACCGTGTCATCCCCAGCGTACACATCAGTTTTCTAGCATCGATCTTTCTCTCAAATGGGCGCCTCTAGGTGCTAGCCACGGACATCGAGATGGACCAATCTAGTCCATTACATGGCACCGTGTACAAGGGCACACACAAAGGCCGTGTCGTCGCCATCAAAACGCCTGTCGACGAGTCTACAGCCCAAGTAATCGTCCACGAGATGGAGACCATGCAGCAGTAGATCCCTTTGGTCTTGTGTCATTATCTAAACACCGACGATTCTAGGTGCAACTCGCCATACGTGCAGCAGCTCCTCGCAGTCGCGGGAATCGGCACAGCAAGTCCCAAGCTCGTGCTCGAGTACATGGACGCGGGGAATTTGCGCAGCTACCTCGACGCCACGCGACTCGGTGAGCCCACCAAGGTCAACGTTTCTCCACTGCAAGTCGCGTGGGTGCTGGCGAATGCCCTCGCCGATTTACATCACAACGGCGTCTTCCACCACGACCTTGAGAGCTACAACGTCCTTCTCTCGTCGACCAACTACATTAAAGTCGCGAACCTCGGTTCTGGCCTCGAGTCGGACGCGACAGCGGGCAAGAGCACACCGTACTGGACCGCCCCCGAGGTGCTTGCATCGACGAGCAACTACAGCTGTGCCGCCGACATTTACTCGTTCGGCGTCATTTTGACCGAGCTGAACACGCTTCAGCTGCCTTATCACGATGCCAAGGGCCTCGGGTATTGGGGCATCATCGACGGCGTGCGTCTCGGCAACCTCCGTCCAACAGTGAGCGCCAACTGTCCGCCTTGGCTTCGACATCTCGCCGACGCCTGTCTCTCGTTCGACCCGACGCAGCGTCCGTCCGCGCAGATGTTAGTCGAGTCTCTTCAAAAGCTGCTCGGTCGCAGCGAAGAGGAGCTTTCGGCGCTTATCGTGCCGGCGCCAACGACCAAGTTAGCCGAGCCACGAGCTGTGAGTAGCCCCGAGGTACGTGTCGCTCTCTATAAGAGTCTCAGTTGGAGGGACTAATGCTGCCTTTAGCCCATCACGTGGGCCGCTAGCCCACAGCCCTCGATCAAGCCGCCAACAAGCGCAACGTCTATCGACGACAATAGTGAGGTGGCTGTCGTCGCGCCCGCGCCCTCCACTGTACCTCCAGCGTCCACTGGCACGGCGGTGAGACCATCGACTAGTCGAAGCCTCTCGGTGCTCTTTCTCGGCCTTACCTACTGTCATCGTAGTCCTTCCCCTCGATGCTTGTGAGCACGCAATTCGTGTGTCAGCTCTGTTTCGCATTCAACTCGCTTCCCCAGACCCACTGCGAGACTTGTGCCGAAGAGCTCGCTTCCGTCGCGCTCAAGTTCCAGGTCCTTTTGAAGCGCGTGGCGGTTGCCAAGAAGAACGGATCAAAGATCTACGATGGTCTTGTCTGCATCTGCTGCGGCGCGCCGCAATCAATGGAAGCAACGGCCTGCAGCGAATGCAACGAAGCGCTCCCGAACGACCAAGCTAAACTCAACATCCTTCTGCGACGCATCGAGAAAGCAACCAAGTCGACGACGTAGCAACTCGTACTTGACTGAAATGTATACAACAAGACGATTGCATTCTACTACACTATAAGCGCACTGCAAGTTGAACGGCTATGACCTCTACACGATGTCTCTTGCAGTCTATATACATGTACATATGTAGCCGGCACCGATATCCCATGAGAAAGTTGGCGCAATGTGTGTGACATCCATTCCACCGGTAGCGTTTCAAACATGTCTTTTATACGTTTCAAACACACATGTTTATATGTTTTAAACACATGGGTCCATGTGAGGTTCATTTTGGCCGTTGCGATCGGATGGGCGCTGCCGGCCACGCGGCCCTGGACGTCGCCGCCAACGCCAAGACGGTCACCATGGGCATGCGCTCCTCGCCGCCAACGATCATGGCTGCCTCGAGGTACTAGTCGGCGCGATGCGTCTGCGCCGATGCTTGCCGCGCGCCTGCCCATGCCCATGCCAGCAGCGCGCAGTGGCCGCGCCATCGCACGAGCGCTCGCCGCGATGCGCTGGTACCACGCGGTCTCTCTCGACACACTGCATGAGGGCGTGGCCATCCGCTGGCCTCTGGACGACGTCGCCGTCCATGGGCAGGTACCGATCCGCGTCCATGTCGCGCCGTCGGACCGCCGCCTGGGGCGCGCCGGTAGCGACACGATCTGCAAGGCGACCTACCGCGCGCTGCGGTCTTGCATGTACATGCGTGGTGAGCTGCCAGCGCGGCGCCGCGCTGAAGGACGCCTGCAGGTATGGGACGACCACCGTCATGGACGCGTAGGACGTCGTCGTGCATCGCGTCGCATCGGCCAACGCGCTGCCTGTGCAAAAGCAGGAGAGAGGTACCAAGCGACTCTCTTAAGCATGTGCAGAAACAGCTTTGCCCGAGTGTTTTGTTCCGCAGTACTAGTAGCTTTGACACGACGCCACGGGCGCACCGACGTCTACGACGATCGCATCTACGACGATGACCGCGTTGGCGCCATGACGAGGACGATCTCACGATCTGCAAGGAGAGATAGCGAGCGGTGTCGAGGGATGGTCCTTGCCAAAGTGGGTGCTTGGATCGGGAGCGCCAAGCTGGACATATTGATGGCAATCGTGCATGTTATCAGTGCTGGCCGTGCGCCAGTCGCCGAGGCCCAACGTAGGTCGGTACAGCAGCAGCACTATCAGGCACAGGTCCAGCGTGGCGGTAAAGTCACCGTCCAAGCCAGCGACAAGGCCAAGTCCGAGCTTAGCGATCGACCATCGGCGGCATCGCATTGGCTCGCACTTGTACGCAATAGCATACGACACCAGGTGCGACTGCGCAGACAGCATCGTTGGAGAAGCGCCAAGACGACGAGCCGCCGCGGGATCGAGGAACCTTCAAGCACACTGCATGGCGGCGGTGCCACCTCATCGGGAGGCAACTGTGGCTGGGTGTCGTGATGTGATTGGATACAATTGTATGACGCCGACTACAGGTACGTACGTATTTTGCAAATGAGGTCCAAGTTGACGGAGAAGGAGGTACCGGTATAAGTCCATCGCAATATGGAGGCTCAAGGACGCGGATGCGACGATATAGTCAAAGCTTCTCAATGCTGTGGAAAAGGGCCACTTGGTTGATGTCATCTCCTATCTCAGTGACGGCGTCGACATCCACTGCACCAACTACGTACGTTCGGATCTTCCTCCATCGATGGCCATGGCGATTGGCATATTGATGTAGATTGGTGATACACCATTGCACTGCGCTGCTCAGTTTGGTCATTTGGAGATCGTTCGCCTTTTGCTTGCGGAAGGCGCTGTCATCGACGCCAAAACAACATCGTACGTTTTGCATTAAATCTCTTGCACGTGGTTTTTAGCATGTAACTTTTGCTGTAGAGTGGTTGGACATCATTGCACTACGCTGCTTCCTATGGTGCTTTGGAGATCGTCCGCTTCTTGCTGGACGAAGGTGCGGCCTTCGACGCCAAAGACGACGTACGTTTTTTGTTTGGCGTTCGATCTGTCACGCGTATTCATTGTGTGATTATTGGTGTAGATTGGTCGTACACCATTGCACGAGGCTTCTGGGATGGGTCATTTGGAGATCGTCCGCCTTTTGCTCGAGAAAGGCTCGGCCATCGACGCCAAATGCGATGTACGTTGTGTGATTTGCATTGTCTCGCACGTGTGTTTCATCATGTGACTATTGGTGTAGAATGGCTGGACACCATTGCACTCTGCTGCTTGCCTTGGTCAATTGGAGATCGTCCGCTTTTTGCTGGAGGAAGGCGCAGTCGTCGACGGCAAAGACAACAAGGTACGTTTTATGTTATGCGTTGCATCTCTCGCACGTGGTTTTTATCACGTGACTATTGGTGTAGAATGGTTGGACACCATTGCACTGGGCTGCTCGGAATGGTTATTTGGAGATCGTCATCTTCTTTTTAAAGAAGAACGCGGCCATCGATGCCGAAGACAACGTACGTAAATGCCCAAAGTACTACATGCCAAACTAGTAGTGTCTTGCGAAACGAGCTACCAGAGATTCAATCTGCTACATTTTCTCTTGTAGTCTGGTCAAACACCACTCATGCTCGCAGAAGCAAACAATCGTGTCAAAGTTGCCCAGTTTCTGCGCGACTTTCTTCTCAAGAAAGAGCACAATGTACAATCTGTCAAGCGCTCAGCAAACTTGTTGGCGTCGGTCGTCAACGAGGCACTACAACGACGAACATGTCTCCGTACTAAGTGTTTTTATCCTAGACACGTCTTTGCGAGGCAGTTCGTCTTGGCCTTCCCCAGGACGTTGTCGCTTTGCTTGACGACGGTGTGAATCCCAACTGCTGCGACTCCTTCGTACGCCTTCCATCACATTCGAGTTGATACTGATTGATGGATATCTAGTTTTCTCGCACGCCACTGCACTGGGCGAGCCTCCGCGGTGACGAGACCCTTGTCATGCACTTACTCAGCGTTGGAGCCAATGTATATGCTCTCGATGGGGTACGAGCGCCGACCGAAAAGCAAGTCTTGTTTTGAGACAAATGCAATAGTTCAACATGACGGCGCTGCAGTACGCCGAGCGCCATGGCCATCGCAGCGTTGCCGAGCTCCTCCAACAAGCGTCCCCTAAATAACTCGACAAGCAAACAAATCTAACCTGCACGTCGACGCCAAACGTCTTTATTAACAACCGATCGAAACATATTGATATGGCGCCACATGCGTCGTCATCGGCCGGAAAGCTGTACGTACGTGTTACCAGACATGAGCTCGTCTGGTGCTATCCAGCACTACTAGGACGGGGTGTGTTTGCCTGTCGTCATGTTCCATTCTTGCTCGCGGGAAGGGCCAAGGACACGGCAGTCAAGCCTCCATATTGATGTCAATGCCACGTCTTGCAGCAATGCTTCCTGCACGACACCAGCCGCGTGCGAAGAGTTTCCCGCCGACGCAACCAAGATTCACGTGCTTCTCATGCGCCTCGAGCTCGCACGTTCCAGCCTAGCCTAGGCCGTAATCAAGGTAGAATGGATAACTCAAAAGATGCGCCATCGAGCGAAATGCTGTTGTCTACGTTGATAGACATATATGCGTGTGACGCCCTCTCGTCGGTGCCTGTCGACTGGGTTGTAGACGCCGTACCCGGCCTCTACCCTACCCCTACCCTGCTGTGTGTTGTGGTTGTCTTGCAGACTAGCGTTCGCATGGACGTTTGCAGCTTAGTACAGTCTAGCTCCTCTGCACAGATGACAATACTATTGTTGTAGTAGGCGGGCGCGACGCCAGAGATTCTGGTCATCCAAATGGGCCGTCGACGCCTCGCAACGACATTGCAGATGACGGCGCACTGTGGTTCCTGACGTACATCCATCTGCGACAATGTCCTTGGCCAA